CTCGGCAAGAGAAAAGCCACGTAAGGGGTCTATGGTCTGTTACAAGTTTAAACTTTTGACCATACAAATAAGGTCTAAAATGTTTTACACTCCAGACAATAGCTAGAAGTTCTCTTTCAATGGTGGAATATCTCGTTTCTGCTTTACAAAGTGTACGAGATGCATAGGCTATCGGGAGATCTTTACCTATGGGACCTTGGGAAAGAACGCCAGATATCGCAAAAGCACTTGCGTCTGTTGTAAGCACAAAAGGCTCTTCAAAGTTGGGGTAGATCAGTATAGGAGATGTTGTTAAAGCATTTTTTAAAGTATCAAATGACTTAACACACTCGCTATCAAAGTCAAATACTGTGTCTTTCTGTAATAGTCTGGTAAGGGGTTTCGCAATTTTGGCAAAGTTTGGTATAAAGCGTCGGTAGTAACCTGCAAGACCTAAGAAAGATTTTATTTCTTTAGGATTCTTGGGTTGAGGGAAATTTTTTATGCAATCCACTTTATCTGGATTGGGCTTAACGCCATCAGGGGTTATTACATGACCAAGATAGGCTACTTCCTTTCTGAGGAATTCGCACTTATCAGGCTGGATTTTGAAATTCGCCTTCCGAAGACGCGTAAAAATTTCGGTAAGCCTACTGATATGTTCTTGGATGGAGGGGGAATAGACAATTATGTCATCCATGTATACAAGACATCTTTCGTTTTGTATACCCATCAAGATGTTGTCCATGACACGTTGAAACGTGGCAGGAGCGTTCTTGAGACCAAAAGGCATCCTCAAGAATTGGTAATGTCCGTTTTCAACTGAAAATGCAGTTTTAGGAACATCAACTGGATTTATCTCGATTTGATGAAATCCAGATGCCAAGTCCAGTGTACTAAAGTACTGGCATTTCCCTAATTGATCAAGTAGATCGGAAATGTTTGGCAGGGGATATTTATCATCGATGGTGATTTCGTTAAGCTTACGATAGTCAATCACCATACGCCATTTCTGTTTACCAGAGGCGTCCATTTTCTTTGGTACAACCCACACCGCAGAATTCCATGGCGATGTGCTAGGTTCGATAATACCTTGTTTTAGTAATTTTGAAATTTGATCTTTGACTTCTTGCTTGTGGACATAAGGGTATCGGTAGGATTTGGTAAAAATTGGTTTACTGGTAGTGGTATCAATGGAATGCTTAATTTCGTTTGTAAATGACAGGCTATCACCATCTAAATAGAATATGTCCGAAAAATCTAAACAAAGATTCGTAATTAAATCTTTTTCCTCTTCGTTGAGATGATCGAGACGTAATTGATCTCTAATAACATCTCTACGGTTATACTGACTTTGATTTTGTAAAGAAGTGTTGAAATTATTGATAGAAGTTTCGTTAAAGGGCTCGAAAGTTAATTGGGGTAAAATTACATTTTTTGGAATGGCATTACAGTTTAATACTGTAGTAAGGAATTCGCCTTTAGAATCAATTTTAACTATGGAACTGGGTAGACGGACTTTTTCTACCTCACACGCCAGAAGATTGGCTTCAGTATTTCTAAGCTCGGATTTGAGCTTGACAACTTGTTCAACTCTGGGAGGAATGGAAATAACATTTTGAACTTGAGAATTTTCTTTAAATTGCGAAGCTTGGGACTTTTCTTTAAATTGAGAAGCTTTGGGATTATTTTCGTCACCTACTTTGAAAAGAGGGACTGTTTTGAAATTTGTAATCAATTGACGATTTTTCAAATCAATAATACAATCATAATGTTCAAGAAAATCTGACCCAAGAAGGCCATCGAATGAAATATCTAGATCATGGACATAAATTTTGTGACAATCATTGGGAGCAAATGGGACTAAGACTGCTTCAGTAATACTAATTTTTTCGTCAGTAATACCTCGGATAGAGATATTTTCTGCGACACGATTAGTATAATTTTGACAAGTGTTACGTTTGAAAATGGAGCAACCTGCACCACTGTCAATGAGAATTTGGAATTTTCCAGTAGCATCTTTAATGTAATATAAGTTGTCTGGGCTAACTGGGTGAATTGTCGACGGGACTATAAACGGAGGGTTTATATGAACATCTGATCGCATGTGTTGCTGACGCTCGCACACGTTTTCGCGTTCGGGTCCTCGACACTGAGATTCGCTAAGTTCGCACATACTATCGCGGTACTGTCGTTGGGTTCCGCAAGGGGGTTTCTCTTTCAAACACTTGGTCCGAAAATCCTGGAATTGTTGTATGTCCGAATAAGCGTTGTCAACAAATGTATCGGCGGTTTGATTATATTCGTAACAATAATCGTTACTGGATTCTCTAAAATCATCGTATGGGGAAGGTGTGTAGGCGGAGTACTGGGTATCGTCATATTCATTAGCGTAGTCCGTGTTGTATAGGTCTGGTTCACCGTAGTCGGAATAATCGTAAGAGTCGGGGGCGACATAATTAATTCGATTGGGAGGATTTTGTCTAAAATTTCTTTGAAAATTAGGGTTTTGGAAATTTGGATTGCTCTGAATTACAGAGGGTCTTGGCGCACTCGCGTTAGGCGCATTTGGTCGTATTACAGATGGTCTGGGAGGATATTGATTAGAATTTTGATGGTAGTTAGATGTAGATGGTCTAACTTGCATAGGTTGATTCGGCCTAGGGTAATTTTGAGGCTGGGGCTGGTTAAACTGTCTTGGGGCAAAGCTTGTAGGCTGTTGTCTCCGTTGGCATTCATTTGCCAAGTGACCGGGACGATTACAAAAATTACAAATTTTAGGGTTTGGTCTTCGAATAACTGAATTTTGATTCGGGTTTGGGGCCCTGGCGAATTTTTGTCGTTCCAAATATGAAAGTTGTAACTCTCGTTTGATATACGAAACTGCGGTCAAGATATCCGTGGGATGTCCTGATCGCACAACAGGTCCTATTTTTGAGTCTAATCCTGTTAATAGACAATTTAATGTCATCGTTTCGATGAGGGAACTTTGAGCAGATTTTTGCTCGCGATTTAGATTTTGCCTATTCACGGCGGAATGCATTTTGGCTGCATGCGTCTGCAGTCTAGATGCAAAGGTTAGGGGTGATTCGTTGGGGAGTTGGCGCATGTGTTGAAGATCCGCGATTAAAGATGTGAGATCTCTAAGATCTCCAAAGTGCGTTTCTAACAGGGACCGTATGTCTTCCCACGTGGAAGGGTTTCGGCTATTCACAAGTTCGGCGGCACGTCCGCGAAGTTTGTTTTTAATATGTAAAACAACGAGAAGCCGCTGCTCCTCGACGGCCATTTGATATGCCGTTCGGCACGCGTTGATGAAGGTCGATAGCAATATCGGGTTTCCATCGTACTCGGGTACAATCGAAAATATTTCAGATAATCTATAAGGTTCAATGTTCGCATGAACGTTATCAGGAATTTCAGCTGGTTGGTAATCATCTGAACCGTTAGTAGACATTTTAAATAGAAAGCTGTTTCAAAAAGATTCAATAATGTCAAGGGAAAATGCAAAAAGATATAAATGTAAAATAGAAAAGTACGTGAAAATCGACAATATATAGAGTAAATGCGCAAAAATGCAAATAAAAAGATGTAACAATCACACACACAGAGATAAATCGCAAAAAATAGTTGGATTAAAATTGTACGTTACCAAGGGTACATCGGGAGGCAGTCGTGTTCTCCAGGCGGCTAGTGGATCTCTTGCGATGTTTCCAGTAGTCTGTCTGCAGTTGGGTGGCTGCTGCTCGCTGTGTCCCCTGTTGTTTTCTTTCTTCTTGTTGCTTTGTAGTTTCTTACTTGTAGTTTTCTTTCTTCAATGGGTTTCTTTCTTCTTAAGGCTCGTTGGTCCTTTTCAGCTTAAAGGATAGGCATCCACCACACTAGTTAGTATGCACGTGTTCTAATGCGTTGAAGCTATCCCACTTCTGACACCAATTTCTTAAATCATTAGATTTAGAAATAACTTTTTAAAAAATTTTATTTGAGGACTGAACTTTCAGTCTATATAAAATACAAAGGTTTACAAATGTGACATTTACGGAGTCTAACCGGGTATTGAACAACAAAGTTTATATAAGTGACTGTTACGGTGCCTAGCCGGGTATTGAACGACATGAAATGGGCGCAAGGCCTATTTATACTATTGGTGTGCTTACAAAGCACTTCTAAAAAATAAAGCGTAAACAACGTGTTAGCGAGAAGTCGTTATCTGTTGCTGAGCTAGCGTCTGGTGCAACATTGTATGGAATAGTAAGTCCATTGTTTTGAGTGCATATAACATATATATATATATATATATATATATATATATATATAACAAAAAAAAAATAGGAAAATAATGGGCAAAATCCGCAAAAAGAAGGAAAGTGGATTCGAGCAGAAAATAGGATAGGTAACCCGAGCGATACGTATTTCTGCTGGTTGGCTTCATCAGGCCCGAAAAAATACGTATCGCTCGGGTTACCTATCCTATTTTCTGCTCGAATCCACTTTCCTTCTTTTTGCGGATTTTGCCCATTATTTTCCTATTTTTTTGTTATATACCGCTCATTGAATGCAGAACTAGCCCAACTCCATTTTTGCCGAATTTGCATTAACAACACCATGGGATGCTACGGCGCATGCCGGATTTGGGTGCAGAACTAGCCTATAATATCAACACGTTATCCCCTCTACCGCGTCTATTATGCAAATATCCCAACTTGCGACGCGTTCCGAGATTCAGTGCAGAACAATCCCTTGGCGGTTGCGTATGCTAAGTCTGTGCTTTGTATGGACATAGGCTAGTTCTGTATTAGAATTTGTATACCAAGTACATAGTAGCTGTGGACATAGAATACTTCCGCAATACGGTAACTTCCTTAAGTAGCGATATTATTTTGTATATCGCGGTCACAATGAATTCTAGAACTTTAAAAATGATACAACTGGTGGGCCCGAAAAAATCAGAAGGCACCCAGAAGGCTGGTGAGACAATAAGTTTTAATAATTTCCGAATTATGTATGGGTATGATTTGTAGGCATACAAAATCAAGAGAAAAGGAGCTTATCTACATCGTTTACTCCGAATGCCAAACAAAACATTGGAGAGGCTATTACAGAAGGTAAGTGGCATTAGACTTCGATACTGTATAAACTATAAAGTTATAATCTACAAAAAACGATTTGAGGGTGACTCGAAGAGGAATAAGAAGGGAAAACTGATTGGGTTATAGGATTATAGCTAAACAATTATTAGCCCGACTATTATTTTCTGTAGGTGTATCTCAAAAATTTTCCCACATTCATTCGTGTTGCCTTTCTGTTAATTTACAATGTCCAATTTGATTCTAGAATATGTACAAGAAGATGATGGGGGATCAACAACTTCGAACAACCAAGCTCATGATGTTCCCAAAATACCTTCTTCGGCAAGAAGCATAGCTCAAATGATGCAGGACAGTATCACCCAACAGCCTCCTCTTTTTTTGATGCCTTGGGAAAGTTCAACTGCATCCTACAAAATAACTCTGTAACTATTGAGGAATTTCCATCCAATGAAATCCTTAAGATCAGTAGTCCCGCTGTAGTTGAATTGAACGGTGGAGATACATATGAAAAAACTGTTCTACAAAATACTGACTTCACATCAAAATCCTCAAATACTATAGAGGATGATTTTATGCTTTCTGAATGTGAGAGCGACCCATTTGCCACCAGTGATGATAGCAATGACATGGACTATATACCAACATTAAGGAAAACTTAACTCACAGTAGAGATCCAGATGATATCGAAAACTCATCAGAACATGATGATAAAAATGAGCCGATGAAAACCAAGAAAAATACACGGAAGAGACAGAGGAATCCGGGTGCATGGAGAAGAAATGAAATAAAGAAGCTGCGGAATCTTGGCGAGAAGTAGAAGACTGGAGAGGAAACCTCCGTCCAAAAAGGCAACCAAAACCTCCTTGTACTAACTGCAGACAAAAGTGCAGCGAAAAGTTCACAGAAGAAGAGAGGAAACAGATATTTGAGAGATATTGGCAACTGGGGGACATCAATAGACAACGGGATTTTATTGCCCAGTATGTAAATATAATGGACAAGAAAAGAACACGGTTGAGAAAGCAGGATGGAAACAGGAGTAACGAAGATACCTGTACAGAAAAAACAACAGGAAGAAAAAATGCGTTTTCCTTTAAGTATACATTTTTAAATCGTCGCGTCGATAGAAAATAGCGGTCTGTAAAACTGTTTTATGAATACTTTAGGGATAAGCGCCCTGGTCATTAAGACAGTGTTAAAAAAAATGGGTAGCACCGGTGCAGTCGGGGCAGATCGGTGTGGTAAGGCATGCAAGAGTTCTAAATTGAGTGATTCAATAAAGCAGTCAATGAGGGACCACATTAATCTATTCGAAACAGTCGAGAGTCACTACTGCCGAAAAAACACTTCAAAGTAATTTCTGCCACCAACGCTTAATATTTCCAAGATGTATGGCCTTTACCTTGAATATTGTGAGCAGAACAACATCCAACCTGCGACAGAAAGCATTTACAGAATAATCTTCAACACCGAATTCAACTCATTTTTCATCCCTAAAAAAGATTTGTATGATATTTGCAAGTATGATGGCGGAACAACAAAAGAAAGAACTGAAATGGAAGAAAAATACCAGTTGCACAGAAAGAACAAGGACATTGGACGGGATTTAAAGAATGCTGATAAACAGACGGCTAAGCAAAATAGAGAATTTTTTGCAGCCGTTTTTGATTTGGAACAAATACTGCCTCTCCCCAAAAGTAATGTTGGTATGGCATATTACAAACTTAAATTATCAACATACAATTTCACGATTTTTAACTTGGCAAATTCTGAAGGACATTGTTACATGTGGTACGAGTCTGTTGGTAAAAGGGGGAGCTCAGAAATAGGCTTATCGACCTCAAAGTACATGAAGATACGAGAGAATTTTCTTTCTATTCCGACAATTGTGCAGGTCAAAATCGAAACAAATATATTTTTAGTACGTATAGCTTATTAGCACAGAAGCACAAGATTGTGATAAGGCATACATTTTTGGAGAACGGTCATACGCAAACCGAAGGGGATTCGATGCGTAGTGTAATTGAACGAGCATCTAAGCTTATCCCTTTATTTACCACTGATCAATGGTATACTTTAGTACGCAGGGCAAAAAGAAGTAAACCGTATGTAGTAACTGAGATGGACAAAGAGTATTTTTTTGATTTGAACGCGCTTGCCAAGGATACCATTTTGAATTGGGATCGTGATATGGAAAATGAGAAGGTTTCTATAAATAAAATACGAATTTTAGAGGGAACCTTAAAATTTCAAAATAAAATTTTATTCAAATACGACTACAATGAACCGTTCAGAACAATTAATTTATTAACAAAAGGCAGAAAGACAATTGATGTTGATCTAAAAAATATACAGTTAAAGCAATGTTACAAGGGTGCTACCCCGATCAGCAAAACAGTATGATCATCTGCAATTCCTATGTGACAAGGGGACTATACCTACTCGGTACCACAGTTTCTACAAGAACTTACAGTATTCCAACGTAAGTAGGGATGGCGACTCAGAAGTTCATCATTTTTCTGTTACAAAAAGTTTCTTAATACTACCACTTTTTTATACATCAGGTAGCAATAGTTCATCTGGTGGGGATACTGAATTATAATTTTTGTTTCCTGTTATTATTTTGAGCACTGTCCATCGTTTGCCTGAATGCCTCGTTTATGTTTTGGTAGTTAATTATAATATTATGTACCTGTATAATAAGACTGCTTAGTTGTCAATAAATGTTTTCAACGTATTCCCGTTTCTATTTTTGTGCTGAATAAGCTGAATGTACATATATAGATTCAAACATGGGTCAGAACTAGCCTAAGTTACTTATATTACGACTACACCTTATCCTATGTGGACATAGGATACAACTTCCACGAAGACAAGTATCCTAAGTCCACAAATTTCGGTTTTGTAAGCCTAAATAAAAAAAACATTAAAAGAGCAAAACACATGCAAGTATACTCATATTATGAACACATTTTCACTCAAGACTTGCAAGAAGTTTAAGACAAAATCAGAAAAAATGATCTCCTGTAAAATTAGCATTTTGTGACTTGTGCTAGTTCTGCATTCAATGAGCGATACATTTGCTCCGCATGATTATTTTCTCTTTATATATATATACAGGGTGGCCAAACACGTGACGTCATAAAAAAAAATTAGATTCCCCACATCGAGAGGAACCCAAATCACCCCCATATATATGGTCCGATTTTGTTTAGTTTAGGAGTTATGATTTTTTTTTCGGATTTTTCGAGAATTTTTGAGTTCTGTGTTTATTTTAACCATAACTTCGTTAATAATTGTGATAAATGCCTGCTTTTTTCACGATTATGTAGCTAAGACCTAAGGCTTAACTATCATATAATCATTCAAGTCATGTAACTAATACTACTTTTTAATTTTTTTCAAAATCTTCGAACATAACAAAAAAGTAAAAAAGTGCAACAACTTTGAACGTTTATAAAAAATTGCAAAAACATGTTCTTACTATTCGTAAGTATCTTAAAAACTTCCTTACGGTATCAGCTATTTACCGTAAAAATTTCATCAACCTAGCTCTACTACATGCTACCGTAATTGTGGCTCAAATAGAACCGAACCCAAAATTGGATAACCCTCTGCTCAATAGAAATTGTTAGTTTCGGAAAAAAAATTTGCAAAAACCACAAAAACACGTTTGATTTTTACTGAACAGCAGATTATTATTCATTTATGTTATTTACAAGAGGTTTTCAAAATGTCTGCCTCTAACAGAAATGCACAGTGTACACCTACGTATGAAATTTTGTTTTAAATCTCTAAATGCTTGTGTGTTGTTTTTCAACACATGTGTCGCTTCTTGAATTTTGTTCTACAATGAATTTTCATTTGCACATTCTTGGGCGAATGTTATGTCTTTAAAATATCCCCAAACAAAAAAATCAATGGGGTTGAGGTCAGGGGAGCGTGGAGGCCATCGTATCGGTCCGTTTCGTCCGATCCATCTGTCTGGGAACCTTTCGTTTAAGTAGTTTCGCACGATCGTTGCGTTGTGGCATGGTGCACCATCATTCTGGAACACCATGTTCCGTCTGGCTTCCAGGCTTGAATCTTCCAGCAATAATGGTAGGCTATTTTCAAGGAAGCTTTTGTAGGCTACCGAATCCAACCTTGACGGCAGTTCAAATGGACCGATAAATTCCATATTGAATATTCCTGACCACATGTTCACACTAAAACGGTGTTGAAATGTCGACGGCCTTGACTGGTGGGGGTTTTCAACAGCCCAAGTATGTAAATTATGGATATTGAATATCCCTGTTCTTTCAAAACGTGACTCGTCAGTCCATAAAATTTTATCAAAAAAATCTGGATCCTCTCGTTGTCTTCGCAGCATTGTCTCGCAGAAATCCACTCTTAACTGGTAATCTGAAGGCATCAACGCTTGAACTCTTTGAACATGATAGGCATGATAACCTTCTTCATGAAGAATATTTTGTATCGATGTTCGTTGTATTCTAAGGTTTTGTGCCATAGATCTCGTACTCGTTGAGGGATTCCAGCTAATTTCTTCAAGTACTACTTCTCTGCGATCCGGATCAGCTGTAGGATATCCTTCATTGCTTCCTCGTCCTGGAATGCGGCCTGCCATGAAAGTGTTATGTGTGTTAATAAAAACACGGTGGTCTGGGTAATGCTCAGGTTGTGGTCCGCCTCGGCGTATAAGTTGTTCCCGGTACAGCTGAGCTGCTAAAGCGCCGTTGCCTTGAGCAACGCCATAATAATAATGCATTTCTGCATATTCACGCAACGTATAATGCATCACAAACTTCTTAGCAAACAAAGTCCAAATCAGTATGCAAAGCAGAGAAATTAGCCGGAATCCCTCAACGAGTACGAGATCTATGGCACAAAACCTTAGAATACCACGAACATCGATACAAAATATTCTTCATGAAGAAGGTTATCATGCCTATCATGTTCAAAGAGTTCAAGCGTTGATGCCTTCAGATTACCAGTTAAGAGTGGATTTCTGCGAGACAATGCTGCGAAGACAACGAGAGGATCCCGATTTTTTTGATAAAATTTTATGGACTGACGAGTCACGTTTTGAAAGAACAGGGATATTCAATATCCATAATTTACATACTTGGGCTGTTGAAAACCCCCACCAGTCAAGGCCGTCGACATTTCAACACCGTTTTAGTGTGAACATGTGGTCAGGAATATTCAATATGGAATTTATCGGTCCATTTGAACTGCCGTCAAGGTTGGATTCGGTAGCCTACAAAAGCTTCCTTGAAAATAGCCTACCATTATTGCTGGAAGATTCAAGCCTGGAAGCCAGACGGAACATCGTGTTCCAGAATGATGGTGCACCATGCCACAATGCAACGATCGTGCGAAACTACTTAAACGAAAGGTTCCCAGACAGATGGATCGGACGAAACGGACCGATACGATGGCCTCCACGCTCCCCTGACCTCAACCCCATTGATTTTTTTGTTTGGGGATATTTTAAAGACATAACATTCGCCCAAGAATGTGCAAATGAAAATTCATTGAGGAACAAAATTCAAGAAGCGACACATGTGTTGAAAAACAACACACAAGCATTTAGAGATTTAAAACAAAATTTCATACGTAGGTGTACACTGTGCATTTCTGTTAGAGGCAGACATTTTGAAAACCTCTTGTAAATAACATAAATGAATAATAATCTGCTGTTCAGTAAAAATCAAACGTGTTTTTGTGGTTTTTGCAAATTTTTTTCCGAAACTAACAATTTCTATTGAGCAGAGGGTTATCCAATTTTGGGTTCGGTTCTATTTGAGCCACAATTACGGTAGCATGTAGTAAAGCTAGGTTGATGAAATTTTTACGGTAAATAGCTGATACCGTAAGGAAGTTTTTAAGATACTTACGAATAGTAAGAACATGTTTTTTCAATTTTTTATAAACGTTCAAAGTTGTTGCACTTTTTTACTTTTTTGTTATGTTCGAAGATTTTGAAAAAAATTAAAAAGTAGTATTAGTTACATGACTTGAATGATTATATGATAGTTAAGCCTTAGGTCTTAGCTACATAATCGTGAAAAAAGCAGGCATTTATCACAATTATTAACGAAGTTATGGTAAAAATAAACACAGAACTCAAAAATTCTCGAAAAATCCGAAAAAAAATCATAACTCCTAAACTAAACAAAATCGGACCATATATATGGGGGTGAATTGGGTTCCTCTCGATGTGGGGAATCTAATTTTTTTTTTATGACGTCACGTGTTTGGCCACCCTGTATATATGAGAAATAACTGAAAAAGTATCTGTTGCCAATCAATAAATAATGAAAACATAACAAAGAACATTGCAAGTTTTTTGATGATATGTTGGGTGGTCCAAATCGACGAATCGACGTTGGGTAATTTTATATGCAATGACCTTTTGCCTTTTGTATGTTTTATGTCATTTTTCGCTAAATATTGGGAAATCTTCTCATAAAACAAGCCATTTACAATAAATTAAGACTTATTTTTTATTACGTATTTCTCCCAAAAAAGGCACAACTTGGCAACAACGGACATCATTTATCTTATCTATCAAAAAATGAACATTATAAAATGGTTATTGAGAATTGTTTGTACTTTCAAATATTTCTTATAAAAGCAAAAACTTTGATCTCATTGAAATAGTGTATGTTATATTCTTATAATTTAGACTATTTAGAGCATCCTTTTCTGCAAAAAGCAAAAAAAGGCTGCATATAAAACAGTATTCTATCCAGTATTACCAGAAAAATGCAACTTTGAAGTTCTAGAAAATAGCAAGCAGAGGGTTCCTTAAAGAAAGAATGATATTTTCGTAAAAGTTACATCCTAATCTTTCATTTTAAAGTAAAAAATAAAGTATTTGCGATATGCGCTAACGTATAGTCTTACCCACGGTTTTTGCATGGAAGAATTACGTGATATTAGTCGAGCCCCTCTTCCTCGTGATTGAGTCATATTCATGCCCGTTTTTTTTTGATGTTTTTAGTTTTTTTGTGATCTACATAATGTTTTCCTACAAGATTTCAACTTGGAACTAGGTGTCGTACACTTGTGCACTCATAGAAGCTGTACGTGTTGCCTACCTAAAACGTCATCCCACTTGAACAATTTGGTTTGTGTGATGTAACCTCTGATTCAGAGATGGCACCGTTGTGGCGATCTATAGCCAGGGTGTCCTGAGGCAATGGATAAATTATGGACTCTCGCCCCACATTAAAAATTGAGAATAATAATTGAAATGTACCATTTATCTAAAAAGAAACTGTGGAGAAAACACCTCATAAAACTATGTTTTATGGTAGCCTGGAAATGAGCCAAAATTATAACGGTAAATAAGTTGTGCGCAGACTAGGAGAATATCCTTTAGGTTAAGAACATTATTTCAGACCGTGATCAACAGGGATGCGTACCTAAAGCCTGCTACACACAGTGCCGGCGGCAGGGCCGCCGGCTAAGCCGCGCAAAGGAGCCGCCGTGGTGTGCCGGCGGGTTAGGCGGCTTGCCGGCGTCACTTCGTTCCTGGCATTCGAGCGGTAGTGTTGTGCGGTTTGTGTGTTTAAACAAATTAAAATGTCGTTTAATTGGGACGACGAAACTGTGCTGCTCTTAATTGAAAAATTTCATGAAAATGATATATTATGGAATCCCAGAAATGCAGCACTTCACTAGCTTTCTATGTGACTGTCACAACTGGAATGATGCTTGACGGCTTGTGCCGGCGGCATACCCGCTCGGCAAAAACCCGGCGTTATTGTCGCCGGCACTGTGTGTAGCAGCTTTTATACTTGGAAATTTGTCAGTTATCCATATTATGTATGTTTTTGTTATATTGGCCTAATTTAACTATTCAATATTATTATGCTTACTCGCCTTAAAAGACTTACCATTGTGTTCTTGACGTAAATTGAGATTTACTTGCTCTGTAGAGATGGTATTTGAAGATGTAGTATCTACTGATGGTGGCAAAGCAAGAGTTGAAACATGATCTGAAACCATGCAATTAATGTTGAAACAGATCTTTCCAAATGGTTAATTGATTTCGTTATGAATAAAATATTCTCTAACCTAACATGCGACAGGTTTAGTGAATACAATTGGTTAATTATCAATTTAAGCACATAACGAATTCTAATGATTTACTTACCAATCATTTGTTTTAATTTTTGTGGACAGAACATGGAAGACACTTTTTATTTGTATTACAGTAAACTTATTTCGTATTGCGTTCTATTTTTTGATGAAACCTTTCCATAATTTCTATAGTAATAGAAATTGTAGATAATGAAGTTAATTAGTCTGCAAAAAACTTCCTTCGCTCATGTGCGGAAAGTAGAGGAGTAACGGGAATCCATAAAATAATTTCAGTATCAAAGAACTTTCAATGTGCAAATTGTGCCACCCTAAAAACTTTTTTTCTAACACCACCCATGACGCCAATACATTTCTTTCATGATTAAAATTTCCAAAATATGTCATTGATCACCTTATTTAACAAAAGCAGTTAGATTTCCACTTTATCAGATATTTCATATTGACCATTTCCTAAACATAAAGGTAAAACAATTTATCAAAGTAAGAAAGTAGAAGTCTCTGTATGATACAATACTGCCCTTTTATCTTTTTATAACCTATTATGGTATTTAGTTTTTTTTGCAATAATTCTATTATTTGTGAATAAGTATTTACCGTAATAAGAAATTACTTTTGCTCCGAAGGAATAATTTTGAAACATATTCTTTGTTTAACTTGAAATATGTGTATAAGAAAACATGCTATGTCATTTACATAATATGAGAGTATGTTTATTAAATGTAATCATATAATTATTGAACTGAATTATTAATTGGTGAAAAGAACCTTTGTGCTATTTATGTGAATTTCAATATGAATAAGTTCTATGAAAATAAAATATAATTCTCCATTACTGCGTTTTTCCTTTAAAAATTGATTATGAAATTTACGAAAAAGTGCAGCAAATTGGTTTTTGCAGAGTCTAAAAGCAGTAAATCACATATTACTGCTTTTTAATTTGCAAGAACTGAAGTCGGAGAGTTATTTATTTTAGGCCTATGATCCGAAATCTCATTTAAATGACTCTCTATAAAGTCATGTAACATTGCAATATTCATTTAGTTTTATTTTGTCGTAATAATATTATTTACTTAGTTCGAAAAAATTTGATCTTCTCAGACTTCGACTTTTACAGTCTACTGCCTTTTTACCTAAGTACGGTAGTGTAGTCAAGGATCACAATACACATGGTACGCCGTTGTTAACACGGTGTGTGTTTTTGACTGCGCGTTAGCAGTGGCGTAGGATAGGCTGTGTTACTCTTTTATTTTGATACCTGAATATTGTATCGTTTTTCTGAGTTCTTTTGGGTGTGGATTAAAACACTGGATTCCACAAAAAGAAATGTACTAATTTATTTAAATGGACTAGATAGAACATTTATGTACACCACTATTTATGTCTGACTAATACTTGTGTCGCTCCATTGACTGAACTATACTCTACTCTACTATACTTCCCTCTTCCGGTCGTCGAGTTATATTGTCCGCATCGTGATTCGAACAGATTCCGGTGAGCCACATAGCGGCATTCCAGAATCGTCGAGGTCACTTCGCGTCCATCTAGAAGGCGAGTTACTGGCACGATCCTCAACAGATGTAGTCAAGCGGCATGTATGGTTGCGATCCGCGTAAAAACAGATCGGACATGAAGCTCTGGCGCGGTCCCGAACAGATGGCGCCAACAGTACTATTCATTCTTGTTCACTGCCACCTCCCTAAAGTCATTCCGTCCCGGAATGGTCTTACTGGTGGTGGATGTCGATATCGGCACGACTGCCCTTTCTTGCAGTAGGAGTTCTTGAAGAAGTTACAACCACACTGTTTCCAGGATGTAGCCATCTAGGACTGTGACAACACACCAGAAATCGAATGTCTGTATACCGAAAGACTACCTCAAGCATGCTTCGGATGATTCTCCAGTCCAGGTTGTCCAGTCCACATGCCAGCTTAGGTATTGCCAGTTTTCTCAGGTCCTCGGCAAGCAACACTTCTCTAAGAGAACACAAAGCGCTCCAGACATCCTCGTAATTCGGTTTCTGATGTGAAGCTTCCTTGGTAACCAGATAGAAGATCTTTCGGTTGGTACCCTCTTCAGTTATCTGGAGTACTTCTCCGACCTCCGGGTTAGTTTGCCGCAGCTCGTACACTCTTCCAAAAATCCTGAGAAAAACCTTTGCTATACCTCTCAACATTCGCAAGTCTTGAGCCACACAGTGTGCCAGGCATACTCTGTTGAAGTGGTACAGAGATCTTGCTGTACATCACATGTCACTCCATATCGACTCTTAAGGCCATTAGCATGGTGAGCCATAAATTGGTCAAATGTCATGTCCGGTTCTGGTTGGATTTGCCGCACCGCCGCATCTTCGTTGTTTCCATGATAAGGTGCAAGTCGGTTGAAATGTACAATTTTGGCTTTACCGCGTGGTGCTTTCTGAATCCTGTAGAGAACATCGTTGATGGCCTCTAGAACTTTAAATGGCCCGGCCCAGGATGACTGAAGTTTAGGCGACAGCCCTTTTCGCCTCTTTGGGTCGTAAAGCCAAACCGTTTCACCATTGTCATAAGTCTGGTCTTTGGCATTAACGTCATAAGCTTCCTTCATCCGGTCGCTGGCAGCTTGAATTGAAACACGAACCTGGCTATGGATGGAGTCCATTCTTCTTCACTTACGTAGTCTTCGCCGGCAATATCAGTTCCTGGTGGACAGCCAAACTTTAGATCGCATAGGAGGCAAAGTTCTCTTACCATAACAATTAGAGCCGGGATCTCTCCTGTGCTTTCATGAATCGACGATCGGTAAGCCAATAAGAAGAGGTGAAGAAAACTATCCCAGTCTCTTAGATGGCTAGAGACTACTTTAGCCAAATACCGGTTAATGGTCCTATTGCGGGTGTAAGGCAGTAGTCCTGGTCTTCTTAATCCCAAGGATTTTACAGATATTTTGGAACAGATTTGACTCAAAATTGCGCCCTTGGTCCGAATGCAACTACAAAGGTACACCAAATCGACAGATCCATTCCTTTAGTAAAGCATTGGCTAAGGTAGATGCTTCCTGATTTGGCAGAGCGTATGCCTCAACGCACTTGCTGTAGTAAGCCATTACCATAATGATGTATTTATTCCCTGTCCCACTTTATGGAAAGGGTCCCGCCATATCAATAGCAATCCGTTCAAAAGGCCACGTTGTAATGGCGCATCGAAGCTTTTGATTTCCTTTGCGGTCCATTGTCGCACACATAACGCATTTTCTGCACCAGTGTTTTACGTCCTTCTTGCTATTGACCCAGTAAATTCTTTCCCTCACTTTTCCCAGGATTTTTGTAACTCCGAGATGTCCTGCTGACATACCGGAATAGATTTCTTCTAGCAGCTCCGGGATCCGACATCTGGGAATAACGATTTGGCTTCTTTACTTTTTGCCGTTGTTTTCCATCATTACGCAGTAAGAGTCCGTCGTCCATAACTAGAGAATTCCATTGTGCCCAATATGACCTTATTATAGGAGAATACGTCTCAAATTCTTCCCAGGCTGGTTTCCGTTGTTCTTTCATCCAGTTCAGAATTATTTGGAGATCGGGGTCGCCCTCTTGGTCTTTAATGAGGTCTTCATTTTGCCAAGTATCACTAACGATAGTGATTCTTAATACTTGGGCGTCTTTCTCCTCTGCCCGCTGGCAATGCTGACAATCCTCTAAACAGGGTCTCCTCGATAGGGCATCTGCATTTCCATGGATTTTTCCCGTTCGATGTTCGATGCCGAAGTCAAACTTTTGCAGCCTCTCTATCCATCCTGCAACTTGACTCTCTGGATTCTTAAGCTGGAGAAGCCATTTTAAAGATGCGTGATCGGTCCGGTGTAAAAATTTTCTGCCATTGAGGTAGAAATGTTCCATTGCCTTTACGACGGCCAGCAGCTCCCTCCGGGTAACACAATAGTTACGCTCTGGTTTGGACAGTATTTTGCTAAAATGACCAACAATAAATCAATCTTCTTTGCCTTCCTGGACTTAGAATAACACAGCACCTACGCTCACATCAGTGTCTAACACAAACTTTCCTTCTGGAAGTGGATAGCTGAGTATAGGAGCGCTTGTTAAAGCTTCTTTCAAGTGGGTAAAAGCTTGTTGGCAATCCTGATCCCATTGTAATTTGCGTTTCCCTTCTATCAGCCTGGTCAATGGCTTTGTGATGTTAGCAAATCCTTCCACGTAACGTCGGTAATATGTACACAATCCTAGGAAGCTGCGTAGCTCACGTTTGTCCTTCGCAACTGGCCATTCTTTTACAGTCAGGATTTTCTCTTTGAAACAGGTGACATTTCTTTGAGCTTAATTTCAAGCCAGAACCTCGTAGCCTTAAGAAAACTTCCTCTAGGTTCTTCATGTGGTCCCCAAATGATTTTCCCATCACGATAATGTCATCAAGGTAAACCAGGCACGTTTTCCAGGATAATCGTGTACATCAGCCTTTCAAAGGTGGCAGGAGCATTGCACAGGCCTATTGGCATCACATTAAACTACCACGATCCGGTGCCTACCGTGAATGCTGTCTTCTCCCGATCTTCAAGGGCCAATCCTACTTGCCGGTCTCAGCTTTTTAGATCTAGGGTGAAAACATTTTTGATCCAGCCAGGGTATCCAGAGTGTCATCAATATGCGGTAGAGGGTAGCTGTCCTACTTGGTCACGTTGTTCAACATTCCGCAGTCCACACAAAATCTGGTTGAACCAACTTTCTTTTCAACCAAAACTATCGGTAAGGCCCATGGACTGTTGGACGGTTCAATGATTCCCTCGTTGGCCATACTGTCTACGATCTTGTCAACCTCCTCTCTTTTAGCAAGTGGGAGCCTTCTTGCCATCTGCATATTGGTTCTCTCTTTCTGTCCAGTATCGAATATCTATGTATTAGATGTTTCAGTTTCTTTTTTTGGTCTGGTCTTAGACCTCTGCCTGATGACGATATTAGTTCATCCAGTTCCTTAGGAATTACCCCTGAGTTTTCCACAGCTGGCATATTTTGAATGATTGCAGAAACTGGATAGCAGTGTGCCAGCTCCGAGCCCTTCTTCAATAACACAGGGTAATGACTGACATTCATTAATCTAACAGGAATAGTTTTATCGGCACGCACAAGGGTCTTTGCAACTGCTATCCCTCGGCCAATAGACTCGTCATGCATCCTTGGTTCAAACATGATTATTTATCCGTCTGTAGTCTGGCCCTCTACTGAGTCATTCAATACAACTTCGCTTCGTTCTGGGATCACGGTGTCTTCAGGCAATAGAACTCGTACGTTTCCATTCCTTTCCCGCTGTAGAATGACCTCCACATTGTTGACTCTCAAGATTCTTTGCTTAAAGTTCAACTCGAAGCCCTTTGTGTTCATGATGTCCATTCCGATGATTACCTCGTCCTCAATATCAGCTACTGTCACCGGATGTTCGAATGTAACTTTTCCTATTCTAAATGCGATGTTTACTTCACCGTACACGTCTGCTCGGTCTCTCGTCGCCGTTCGTATTCGCCATTTGGATGGTCGAATCTTCGCCGATGCTTTCACCATGTCGGGCCTTATGATAGTCTTTGTCGCACCTGTGTACGGGATTATCGGGATGACGAGTAACGTCGTGGACTGTATTTTTCTTAACTTAACTGGATTCGAACAACTAAATAACAATACTTTTCTGGAGGTTAAAACTTGACGTTAGTTTCAGACCTTTTTGCGATGTTGCCGGTTGTCACCTAGTGCAAAAAATGTGTGCACGGACTTGCACGGAACAACCTGTATCCAGCAGTATGGTGTGGAGAGGCCCATCCACAAAATCATCGACAAAAACACTATTAGACCGATGTTTAAGCGAGGAGACTTGGACGGTAATAACTGATGGAGCTTGTTGGCTACACGATAGCCTCTTCCCATCGACCTCCCTTAGTTTTCCGGATTGGCCGTAAGTAGAGGATAGGTTACCTAAATAGGCGCTAGGAGACGCCGTCCTGAAGGTGCTAGTTTTCATACGGCAGTAGAGGATAGGTTACCTAGCACGCCCCCCACCACTTCCACTTTGGCCACGCCCACCGCGTGCTCTGTAAAGTTCGTGCGTGAAGTGATTGTAAATAATTTCTGGTAAGTTTTAATTTTTAACAGTGATACAATATTGAAAACATAGTACAGTCTATATTGTGTATCTGATAAATTCCAATAAGGCAATCACCTACGTCGCAAATGAGGTTAGGTAGATAGTCGTTCAGCGCAGGTGTTGTCGTAGCGGTGATATGCAAGAAGTACCGGGCTGTCAAGCATGGGTGATGCGGGGAGCGCAGGCTGTTAACGAGTTAATACCGACCAACGAGAACAGCGGTGACCTTGGAACACTGCGGTCAGTTAAAAATTGTTGTTATCTGCAGCGAACAGATGTGCTCAGTTCAGACTTAGTCGCTAGTTAAAGTTTTAGTTTTTTAAAAAAATAGAAAATTTTACATCGTTAAGGATTCTACTAAGAAGATTAAAAAAATTAATCTATATGGGCGAGAAGTGGAATTTAAAATACGACCTATCCCTAAAGACGTCGAACCTGTAGGATGGATCAAAGACGCTCTGGAGGAAATAGTAGCTAAAGGAACTGAACATCTTGACCCCAGTGATCAAGTTGGATTCATTTTCTGTTAAAAAGACTTTGCCCGCGGTCAAGGATGGATAGCTATTAAATCATTTTCCGACGTCTCAACTGACGACATATGGGAGAAGATATCTTCCATCTATCAGTCAAATTCTGCGGGGATGAATACCGAGACTTTTTGCCTGGGGGTTACGTCCGTAAGGATGCCTGCTGGTCGTGGTAGAGGTCAAAATTACAATACTTTTGATGAGGAATGCGCCAAAAGAAAAGGCATTATCACCGTTACAAACACCGATAATTTGTGTCTCCCACGAGCCCTTGTCATTGCGATGGCTCGCTTGAACAAAGACAAGGAATATGAGAATCCTTCTCGATCGAGGAAAAATACAGGGGCAAAGAGCTGCACAACTTGTGGAAAAGGCTGATATTGTTATCCCTGAGGAGGGCTGTGGAATACCTGAACTTCAAAAGCTACAACAATATCTGCAAAACTACAAAATTGTTGTATACAAGTTTGGATGCAAATGTCGTGACTTCATTTTTGAAGGCGTGTCCACTGGTCCGACGCTTAACCTAATCTATCACGTACGACACTAC